AAATGTGAATTCCTGATATCAAGAATTCAATTGTTATGATGAAACGGGCAAATCAGAGATGCAGGATGCTAGTATTTATTTATTTAAGAATGATCCCTTTAATGTCTTCATTAAGACATAACTAACATGCTGCATGATGTTGATTTAATTGATCTAAACCCAAATACTGAGTGGTCTTTCAAAATATATACTTACAAAGGCAAAGACACTCTCGAGATGTGGCTCTTAAAAGAGCCTTTGTGGTGTATGTAGCTGCTGTAGACACAAGCAAAAGAGAGACGAAGAACAAATATGAGTGAGATATGTCTGTACAAATTAAGATGTTTTCAGTTTCATCAGTGATTATTGATTAATTGGCATGTTATAATGAAACTGGCAAATCAGAGATGCAGGATGCTTGTTTTGTATGCATGTATGTATTCATTCATTAATTCATGTATTTATTCATGCCTTTATTTATGTATTTATGTATCCCTTTAATGTCTTCATTAAGACATAACTAACATGCTGCATGATGTTGATTTAATTGATCTAAACCCAAATACTGAGTGGTCTTTCAAAATATATACTTACAAAGCCAAAGACGCTCTCGAGATGTGGCTCTTAAAAGAGCCTTTGTGGTGTATGTAGCTGCTGTAGACACAAGCAAAAGAGAGACGAAGAACAAATATGAGTGAGATATGTCTGTACAAATTAAAATGTTTTCAGTTTCATCAGTGATTATTGATTAATTAGCATGTTATGATAAATCTGGCAAATCTGAAATGCCGGTTGACAGCTACTATTTTCACCTACAACAATCAGACGGCAATCGACACTGGAAAAAAAGAGAGAAGATAATAATTATTTGCATGGTAGTCTATAAATTCCCAAAGTTTATAAAGGCTCTGATGAATATGTGTAATATTGTCTGATAATGCAAGATGAGAAGAATGCAATGTATTTGATGAGACCTTACAGCCCACTAACAAATAAGCTAAAGTAAAATGCGTTTTCATTCTTGAGAATCACAACAACAACAAGTATTATTATGGTTGTTACAAAATGAGGGATGACCGATTTCATCTAACGTTAATCTATAAAGGTGTCTCGTCTCTCTCTCTAGGTGCACGCGCTTGCAGTCAAACCTGTGACGATGCACTACTTCCCATACAAATATGAGTAATGAAGATATTAAGAATAATTGTATAATTGGTCTCTTTTTAAAGTAACGTTAACATGACCGATAACTCTGAAACGAAAGAGCGTCTCTCAAACGGACCGGATTGGCTCCATTAGCAGTGACGTCACAGCGATGTAACAGCATTTAACGGTGTTTAACGGCGCTGCTGAGCAGACTAACGTTATATGAAAAGACGGAAAACCGTTGTCTGTGTGAGATGTGATACATTTACTGGAAAGGGCAAATTTAGAAAAGTCCCATTGTTATTAAATGTAATTGGTTTCATGAGTGAAAAAGCCTGCTATTTATTTTAGTATTATAACCCTCAGAAAAACGAACTGTTCCCTCAGACTGTTTGTTATTATAATTACTTACTAATTACATTTTATTTCTTTCTTCATAGTTTTAAATGTCATTTACTTTTGTTGTTGGCCCATATTTTTAAGAGTAATTGAACTAAATTGGTTAAGTAAACAGTAATGTACCTGAGGAAAACGCACTGCTGGGGATGTCATCGAAGGGGAGTCGGGCGGGTTGTGCGCGGAGGGGGTCGGTTAAGTGGACCAAACAGTTCAGAAAGTGTGCGTGTAACAAAATATTGCAGCATTTAAAGTTACAGCAACTAAATAAACCAGTTTCCTTCTGTGTGCTTAATATGAATCAAACAACAGAAGACAAAGAGAAAATCTCTCACTGCTCATGACTGAGTATCTTTTGTAGCTTTAATAAGAATCAGTGTGTATTTAATTCAGATAATGAAGCAGTGTTTAAATTTTAGATTTGATTAGTTAGTTTCTGCTGTTAAATAAACCTAATC